CTTAATCATTTACTACAGTATTTTTTCAACCTTTTTTCAGTCAAGGAACCCTTTAGAATGGTGTGCCTTTAGATTGTACAAAATTGTACAGTGTAAGAAACAAAACTAATGGTTTTACTTATTCAAAACTTAACCACTTGATGACTGGGCTATAGCTGAATGACAGCTACAGCGTGGTAGTCTAGTTTTGGAAGGGAGTCAAATGACGTCCTCCAGAATTTCACCTCTGTGATCGCTGTGTTCTGTGATCGATGTGTTCATTAGACACAGCTTACTACATGACATGGTAAAGGGCCAATCACAGCACCCTTTTACCACATGATCAGCTGTGCCCGATGACACAGCTGATCACAATGTAAATACAATTTCCGGTAACTGGCAAATTTATTTAAAAAAATCAGAGGCAGTCCAACACAGTCCCGACAGTGTCCATCAGTGCTTCCAGTTAGTGTCCATCAGAGCTGCCAGTGTCCATCAGTGCCGCCAGTCAGTGCCCATAAGTGGCGCCTGTCGGTGCTCATAATTGTCACCTATCAGTGTTGCATATCAGTTAAGCTTCATCAGTGCCCATCAGTGCTGCCTATCAGTGCAGCCTCATCAGTACCCATCAGTACAGTCTATCAGTGCCCATAAGTTTTTTTTTGTTTGTTTAGAAAAAAAAATTAAAAACCTAATGGTGATTAATGCCATCAAAATAAAGCTCTATATGTCTCAAAAAAATGCTAAAAATGTCATATGTGTACAGTGTTGCATGATCGCGCAATAGTCCTTCAAAGCTCTGAAAGCTGAAAATTGACCTGGGCAAGAAGGGAGTGAAAGTGCCCGGTAGGCGGTTGGTTAATAAAAAAGATTTTTAAAAAACCCAAAAAAAATGAATAGTTTTACATAACTCAGTAACATCCACACACATAGGACACCCAATGTTAGAGACAATGTATGCTTCCAAAACAAACACATCTTTGCACACTGTTATGGACTAGTATTTCAGTGTTTCTCTTCTCCCACCGTTTCTTTCCCTTGCTCAGCTAATGTGACCCCAATGCTGATGGAGATGGGCAGCAAGGATGCTGTACAGCCACCTGATGTCCTCCTTATCAACCAATGACATCATTAGTGTTTTGTCACCCTGGTTGAAAAAGGCTGATTTACTACGTATACTGTATATGATATTTCGAGCAAGTCAAACATTTTAACCAGACAATACAGACCCTCCCTTATTGCAAGCTCTAATGAGCAGGGCCATCAGATTCCTCCTGTATTGAATTGTATTGTAACTGTACTGCCTGCTTTCATGTTGTAAAGTGCTGTGCAAACTGCTGGTGCTATATAAATCCTGTATAATAATAATAAAACACATACCCGATTTTCAGTTTAGATTCTTAGGCACTCTTGCTGCATGATATAATTGTGTTATATTTGTAGACTATGGGTATTGATAAGATAGTGATTACAAGATTGCCATAGCTGGAAAGAGATTTCTATCTAATTCAAACATTTCTGATATTTGTGAATATACAATGGAGAATTGCAGCCATGTTGTTTTCCTAAAGTTCCACCTGTAAATATCAAATATTTTTGGCACCTTGGATTACGGTCTACTGTATTGTTCTCAAATACGGAATAAATAAAAACAATTTAAGTAGTAAAATGTGTGGTAGTTAGATGGCTTGCAAATGTGTAACCAACTTTTTGATTTTCCTGGGCCACATTGCAAGAAGAGGAATTGTATTGGTCCACACATAAAATACACTAATAATGATAGCTAATAAGGATAGCTGATAAGCAGAAAAAGTTGGGCAGATCACAAGTTAATGAGCGCTGATATAGATAAAATAAAAATAGTGCCTATCAGGGTCTATGGATGTAGTAGCAATTCTCAAGGTGCTCATCAAATATTTTGGTTCTAATTTTGTCCCTCATGTGCTTCATCCTTGAAAATGGTTGCTCACAAATAAAGGTGCTGCCGAAAACTGATGACATGAATAAGGCATAATTGTGAAGAGTGGGATATTTTTTCTCAGGGAAAATAAAGCTTATAAAAGTTTAGTAAAGAGACACTGTCAAATTTTTCTGCAGTCACATGTGTTCGCTAAGTGTAAATGCATTTTTACAAATAATTCCACCCAAAAAAGCAACATTAAATGCATTTTTTACGAAAAATTCCACTCAAAAAAGCAACATTTTAATGTAAGTTTACAGTTTTGTGTTGGGTCACATTTATAGCCATCTTGGACCGTGGGTTGGACAAACCTGGTAGAACCTAAATCCTTATGTATGGCTAGTTAACCCTAGCTTTGTGGTTCTAGTTTGAGCTAATTTTAACTTTTTTATGAACTTTGACAACCACAGTTACAAAAATATTGCTGAAATAACAGTTGGATAAACACATTTCATATAACTTGTGTGGATTTTATCTCACTTAGAGTTTCTACCTAGGTATTTTAGGTTTTGGTTCTTCTACATATTCCTGTGCTCTGCATATGGGATCATTCTAAAGAATTAATTAGGGCAGATGATAAATAATTTATTGGTTCAACTAGATGGACTAGTGTCTCTTTTCATCCTATGTAACATGACCATTCCTTCCTGGACAGATAGATCCTGTACAGGATTTCTTTCATTGGGCAGGGGGGTAATAATTTATTGCCAACTGGTACTGACATACACACTACCCCTTCCATATGAATGAAAACTAAATGTACACAACACCTATCACCACATCAAAATTTATAGTCAATGTGCAGAGATTTTCATAGTCCCTGTGTTAGTCTTCATATTTCTTTAGTCCTTGTTTTACAAGCCCCCTAAGCCTCGTTGTCAGTGTTCTCACAGCAACCTGAATATGTGAGTAAAGAACCCACAGAGCTCAGAGCAGGCAAAACTAGGCAGTAATGGTGTCTGCAATATCTTATTCAAAGTTGGTAGTATCATACAGTGGATAGTTGCTGTCACAATTGTATAAAAAACTACATATGCTATTTAAAAAACATTTTTAATAGCAATTGACAATCCAGACTACATCCCTGATATAGGGCTGTACCACCATCCCTTCAAAATGGCATGTATGATAGAAAAGTATATAATAACTGGGACTTTAAGGGAAAAAAACAAAAATATCATGAAGTCTGTAAATGATTTAGCTTGGTAAAAAAACCCGCAATACATATTTTACATATTTGTTTGCTCAAAGTATGGTTTTCTTTGCAATTAATTTGTATGGTAGAAATCTAGAATATACAAGTTTAAATATTAACAATACACCAACTTAAACATTTATTAATATGGACAGCTGTCAATGTCTATGCTAAAATATGGTCCCACATAGGCCACATGGGATATCTCCTGACTACCGTCTTCACATGCCCATAGATGTTGATCTTTAACATTGTGAAAGTGGTGCGCAATCAAGTTGGAACAGAAAGGGGCCATCCCCATACTGTTCCCACAAAGTTGGGAGTATGAAATTGGCCAAAATGTCTTGGTATGCTGATGACTTAAGAGTTTCCTTCACTGGAACTAAGGGGCCAAGCCCAATCCCTGAAAGACAACCCCAAACCATAATCCCCTCCACCAAACTTTACAACACTGCATCCGATGCTTTGCATTGCACTTGGTGATGTAAGCCTTGGATGCAGCTGCTTGACCATGGAAACCCATTCCATGAAACTCTCTATGCACTATTGTTGTGCTAATCAGAAGGCCATATGAAGTTTGGAGGTCTTTAGCTATTGACTCTGCAGACAGTTGGAGACTTCTGTGCACTGTGCGCTTCAGCATGGGCTGACCCCACTCTGGCCTACTACTTTTGAGTTGATGTTGTTTCCAGTTGCTTCCACTTTGTTACAATACCACTAACAGTTGACCGTGGAATATTTAGTAGCAAGGAAATTTCACGGATGGACTTATTGCATGCCTCAGTGCTTGATTTTATACACCTGTGGCCACCTGAATCCAATGATTTGTAGGGGTGTCCCAATACTTTTGGCAATATAGTGTGTGTGTATATATATATATATATATATATATATATATATGTATGTACTCAGGTTGAAAAAAGACACTAGTCCATCTAGTTCCACCAATAAAATAAATATACACACTCGCGCGGTGACACACACAGAAAACCTCCATATACACAATCCAAAACTTAGTTAGTCTGGCTGAAAAAAGACAAAAGTCCATCCAGTTCAACCATAGAAACAAAAATTATAATCCTATACCCACAGTTGATCCAGAGGCAAAACAAAGGCAAAAAAACCCCAGCAAAGCGCGATCCAATTTGCTCCTGCTGGGAAAAAAAATCCTTCCTGATCCCCCGAGAGGCAATTGGATATTTCCTGGAACAACTTTACCTATAAATGTTAGTATCCAGTTTTCTGTGTATCTAAGAAACAATCCAGGCCTTTTTTGAAGCAGTCCACTGAGCTGGACAGAACCAGCTCTTGAGGGAGTCTATTCCACATTTTCACAGCTCTCACTGTGAAGAAACCTTTCCGTGTTTAGAATTAAATTTATTTTTTTCCAGATGTAAAGAGTGCCCCCTTGTCTTCTGTGATGACCTCAGGGTGAATAGCTCTACACCGAGTTCACTATATGAACCACTAATGTATTTATACATGTTGATCATATCTCCCCTTAACCTCCCTAGCGGTCTGATTATGTCCATATTTCTGTCCTCAAAGCGGTACATTTTTTTTGCATGGAATATGTATTTTTTTTATTGTAGGCCTGTAATTTTTAGGAATAACTCACTGAAATCTGTCCGAACAAGAGTCTAGTAAACATCCCAGGTAGGATAAAACTTGAAACACAAAATCATAAATTATAATTTAATAAATAATCATAAAAAATAATAATATAATAATAAATTTAATTCAATAATATAATTAAACCAAAAACACTGAAATTTGAAAAATAGCGCCAAGTTCGCACATCACTGAGCAAAGTCGCAAAATTGTTTTCAGTGTCTGATGACAAATTTCCCCACAAATCATTAGCACTCAATTCTACAAGTGGTTCTAATTTACTATCGCTGTTCTCTAGCTGGTCTAAAACCGGTTTTGACCTAAAGGGACGCTTTTTAGACTCCATGGACGTTTCTCAGTTTCCAGGCAGAAAGAACAGTAAAAATGCAGGCAGGGCACAGGACAAAGCACTAGGGACAAAATGTATGTGAAATGCTTTGATACAGTAATGTCTTACTATGTGATTTTAGTGAATGTCACTTTTTGTCATTTTCAAATTTCCAGCCGTTCCGTCCCCCGTACGTCCCGACGCTCGCAGGGGATGGAACCCAGATGACAGATGTCGGAATCTGCCGGATTCCATTGCCGAGGACACTGCAGGAGGGACATTGTGGGAGCGCAGCACAAGGTAAGTGATCGAGGGATCGCGGAGCAGCGCCGCATGGTAAGCCCGAGTGTAGCTCAGGGTTACCGCTTGTGGTACTGAAACTTTACCCCGAGCTACACTCGAATACCGCCAGGGAGGTTAATCTCCTCTTCTCAAGAAAGAATAAATTCAGTTCCTCTAATCTTTCCTCCATGCCTTTAGTTGCCCTTCTCTGTACTCTCTCCAGTTCCCTAATGTTCTTTTTGTGAATTGGTGCCCAAAACTAAACTGCATATTTCACATAAGGTCTTACTAATGATTTGTACAGGGGTAATATGATATCTCGCTCTCTGGAGTCTATACCTCTTTTAATACAAGAGAGGATTTTGCTCGCTTTAGAAACTGCAGCTTGGCATTGCATGCCATTATTAAGCTTGTGATCTACCTGAACTCCCAGATCCTTCTCCACCATTGATTCCCCCAGTTGTACCCCCCCTAGTATGTATGGTGCATGCATATTCTTAACCCCCAAGTGCATAACCTTACATTTATCAACATTAAACCTCATCTGCCACATAGATGCCCAAGTAAACAGTACATTGAAGACATCCTGTACGGACGTTATTCTACTGCACAGCTTGGTGTCATCTGCAAAGACTGAAATGGTATTTATAATCTCAGACCCTATATCGTTTATAAATATATGAAAAAGTAAGGGTCCCAACACTGAACCTTGGGGTACACCATTGACAACCCTAGACCATTCAGAGTATGAATCATTAACCACTACTCTCTGAATACGATCTTTTAGCCAGTTTTCTACCCATTTACATATGGATTCTTCCAAGTCTGTAGACTTTACCTTACACATTAGCCGTGTGTGGTGAACTCTATACCCACAGTTCATCCAGAGGAAGACAAAAACTAACAATAAAGCTTGATCCACTTCTCTTCAGTGGGTGAAAAAACATCCTTCCTGATCTCCCAGAGATCATATAGTATATATAAAAGGATTGTAAAGGCAATTTCTTTTAAATAGCACATATAATAATGTCATACTTACCCGCTCAGTGCAATGGATTTGCACAGAACAGCCAGGATCCTCTTCTTCTCGGGTTCCCGTGCAGGTGCTCTTGGCCCCTCCCCCTTGTTGAGTGACTTCTAAGCAAGCTGCTTGCTATGGGGTCAGTCTTGTGGGCTCGCTCCAGAGCCCCATTCTTTGTGTCTGTAAGGCACACAGAGAGCACGACTCAGCCCCCACCCCCTGCTCCCTCCTTGCTGGATGTGATTAACAGCAGTGGGAGCCAATGGTTTCCACTGCTGTTTCTCAACCAGTGAGGAGGGAGAGACACAGGAGATCCTCTGCTGTTGTGCACATTGCTGTAATGAGATCATTATGTTTTAGGGGGTTGGTTGGGAGGGGGGGCTGCTGCACACTGAAGGTTGTTTTGCCTTCATGCATAGAATGCATAAAGGCAAAAAACCTTCAACCTTAAGAACCACTTTAAGAGACACGTAAAATATGTATTGTTTAAATCGGTGGTTCACAACCTGTGGAACTTCAGGACCCACATTTGTTATACTCACTGAGGGGTTATACTCACCTAAGGGGTTAATTCTCCACATTGCGTAAAAAGAATGTTTGATCCTCTCTTCTCTGATCCTCCTCTTCTTCCATTTTCCCCTAAATATATCCTGTTAGAACCGAGGTTTGGAGTCTCTTTGCACATGCTCAGTTTGGTGTGTATTGCTAGAGGTTTTTTTTTTCTTGGAGAGTGAATGTGATCAGCACAGGGCCAGTCAGCACTGTCTGGACAGAGGTCAGAGGTCCTGCATCCTCCTAGAAGAGAATGAGAACTCCTCCTACAAGCTTTAACCAGTGCTCCGCTGGACACTGACAGAAGTCACAATACTGCTCCAATTGTTGATGAGAAAAGGTATTTAGCAGTTTATATTAACTAAAATAATTGCATTTCCATGTTCTGTGTACTGTGGGAGTACCCCTTCCATGCCCTGCTTTAGCCTACCCTTTCATGCCCTCTTTCCTTGACCTTTGTATGCTCTTTCCTTATCCTCCTTTCACACCCTCCTTTAATTCTCACATTGATCCCCTTTACATGCCCTCCCCTTTCATGGTTTCCTTCAGTCCTCCCCTTTCATCCACACTTTCAGTCCCCCCCCCCCCCAATTACCATCGCTTTCCTGTTTTCTTTCACTCCTTTCAAAATGTGCTCTCCATCACCCAGCCATAACCCAGGAAAAGTACCTAGCGGTGTCATCCCTGGCATCCAGTGGTGCTTTTCTTCTCTCCTATGCGGCTGGTCTGCTCGAGGGAAGTCTAGTTATATGTCACTTTCTCTCAGCACTAACACGGAGGAAGGAGGAATGAGCACAAGGGCCATAGGAATGCTTTGTAAGTGCACCGTGCACACCACCTTAATGGGACTGGTTGGTCACAATAATACAAATATTGATGCCGGCCGTAGTTGCGGTCCCGGCCATCTTAGCATGTATATTAATGCGGCTGAGTTTTTTTTAAGCTATGTTGTCAGGGCACCAGACGTTTTATTGGGGCAGGAGAGAGGCCTGGGGGGCATTTGCCTCATGGCTCAGTCCGCCCCTGGTCAAGACCCACTTTTGGGTCGCAACCCATTGCTTGAGAAACATGGGTTTAAATGGTTTATGAATTATCAAACTGGTGGGAAAAATATGTAAGATATGTACACTGTCATGCATGATACCAGTCCTTTATTCATGTTTTATGGGTTTTTAGCCAAGTTAAATAAGTTACCAGATTTATAGTCATGTTCTATGATTTATGAGCTAAATAAATTATAGATGTTGATATATTTTTGTTGTGTACCCAGTCATTATTGACTCCAGATGATTTCCCTTTTGATGCAAACATTTGGAGGGTATTTAATGTCCCACGAGACCCATGTGCATCAGTATGGGACTTTATTCATGGCTTCTGCTACTGTACATCTACTAACTAATCAAAGATACATTGAGATCAGAAGACTCCAGTTTGACTAAAATAATGAGTATGACAAAAGTCCATTAGAAATCAATAAATGTTTAGGCTTGTTGCCTATCTATGCAGAACAAAAAAATCATGGAAAAGTATGGGAAATCTTTGTTCTTTTACAGAAGCTTTTATACATAAGGTCAAATTTTCAAATGTGGCAGTACTGTCCTCTGCTTCAAAAAAGCTGGAAGCTCCAATGTGTTTGAATACTCCCAAAAGTCTAAAATATTACATACTCTGTGATATTTATTTTTGGCCTGCTTACTCAGATATTTCTTATCCAAATACCATAAAGACATTAGACAGGCAGACATTTGCAGAAAAGCACAAAGGGATTAATAAGAACATACACTGTATATATTTCTTTAGGGATTGGTACACATAAGACATTGATGCCAGAAAGGTTACAAAGCCTCTACCAATAAGTTTAGTCCATAATGTTTATTTTACTGTGTATCAGCAGCCACACATTTTGGCACAGTTGCATTATGGGTGAACTTTAGTGTCTCCTTATTTATTCTTAGTGCTTGAACAGCAAGTTGACCTTTCCTTGTAAATCCCTTGTAAGTACCAATCCTAAGAAAAATTAATTAAACTTTTCATATTCTCCAGAACCTCAGTTAAATTTGTAGATCCCAGAGCCTTTCTTTCAAGTAATGTTTTGTATTTGATCATTAACCATTTCACTTCCATTCCATCTTGAGTTTGGGGTCATGTGCCTTATTTGTAGGCCCCATTAGAGGACAAGTCTTTTTTTAGAGGCTGTTTTGCAGTTAATAATGGCTTTTGTGCCCACTGATTGTTCTAAGCAGTTGTACTGGTATTTGCAGTAACCTTCTGTACAAGAATAATTGTCTGCAGTGTCTCTGTTCCTTTCTCACCAGTTCCCTCTGTGACGGTGACAAATGTGGATGCCTCAGTAAATTAGACACTCCAGCTTGGCCTGTTCCTTTTTCCTGCCTGAAACCTCTACACCTCACTGTGTGATTTATAGACTACATGCAGCAACGGGAATGACCCAAACACACTGTCTGCAGTGACCCCACAACTACATCACTATCCAAGTGCTGGCAGCACAACAGGGCAGCCGTCAATAACACAATAAAGTCTACATTTAAGATCTGTAATACAGTTTAAACAACTAATAATGCCATTTCAAAGATATCTGGCCTAGACATTGTCCTCACAGCTGAGTTTAAAGTAAATCTATTACAAACCTGGGCAATTCAGACGGAGCATATGATGAAAAAAATGCATCAGCTGAGTTTACTTTCATTAAAAACCACATGACAAATTATCAGTAGATCCAGATACAGGCAGCTAAAGATAAAGACTGATCTCAATTTGCATCTAACTTCAGTGTCTTTCAGATAGACACAAAGGATGCAGTAGGGATGTGTTGTGAGTCTGATTTTCATCTTGACACTAATCCCAGCACTAATTTACCATTCTTTGCAAATTACTATAGCAAAAGAATGGATTTCATCTGAAGGGATCTCTTAAGGTTCTGCTCAATGTGAATATTAAAGTAGACCTATCAAGCAAAATTTTAAATCAAAGTTGGAGTATGTGCCATATTGTATATACTTAAAAGGAAACTGTAAAATTCTCCACTATAGTGTGTAGACAGGTTCAGTTAGACACTTTGCCACTAGGTGGCTCTATACCAGAATAGTGTCTGGTACAGCAGTTAATGATGCTAGGTTTTAGGCCCCTTTTAGGCAGAGCCCTCCCTCAAGTGATGTCAGGGGTGAATCAGGACCCACATATAAACTAGGTGGGGAGGGGCACACACTCTCTTGGGGCATGGGAGCCATACACCCCACACCTGTGAGCATGTAGCTGACACACTTAGTGACTGTCTTGCCATTCCCTGAACAACACCAGTAAAGTGCAGCTAAGTAAAGTATTGTGTGGACATTTCTTCTTTGGGATATAAAGGTACAGTCAGGTCCATAAATATTGGGACATCAACACAATTCTAACATTTTTGGC